TAATTTACCTGGTAAAATAAAGTTTTAATAAATGACATAAATGTTCTAACAGCACACGTAAGTTAGTGGTTTATTTATTGTTAGTTACTGTAATGTTGCGCTGCTTTATTTGGTTAATCATCCAGTCTGTGAAGAAGGCATTCATGTAAGAATTGCATTGTAGTCTGTACATGACAATAAAAACTTTGAATCCGGTCCATTGTTTATTTTTATTACTACTCTGTATTCGTTAATTTGTTCGTGAATAGCAAACTTTTAGGTTGTAACATTTGTACAACTATTATGTCACTTTTTGGTGAGCAAAAATAAATAAAATAGCATTATCACCAACAAGCGCTGCTACTACAGCAAATGCGAGGCTGACACTGAAGCGTTACCCTTTTGTTTCCGCTCAGAGACGTGCCGTGTGACTTATTTCCTGGCGCGTACAATTTATATTAGGTCAGCGTTCACGGGTTCGACTTCTGATATTCAGATCGAGTTCTAGGTCAAAGTGGTTTGTTCGACTTTCAAGAAATTCGAGTTCTAGTGAGTTCGAGAACCGAGGTGCCACTGTATATCAAATGTTGAACAGAAATTTTACTGTTTTATTACAGATATATGCTGAATTTGAATTTGATGCCAGCAATACACAAGAGATTGGAAAAGGTGTGTAATGCTAACAAAACACCTGGTTGAATATCTCACAACAAATTTAGGTTATTTGGCAACCTGAGGTTTATACCGAACTCTGAATTTTGTGTACTGTTACACCTATATTCCTAGGAAGTTTTTAATATATTGTAATAACAGGCAGACCAAGGCATCACAACAGTGGCAAAAAATGAGGCTTCTTTATGGAGGAATGCACTGTTAGACTATAACCCTTAAAAAGAATAACACAGGCACCCAACAAGCAGCAAATCATAATGGGGACACACAGGGAGGTCTGATGCTGGACCATAAGGCATACACGCGGTGGGTAATTTATGCACCGGCTAAAGACATGCGTGGATCAGACGCAGGCAAACACACGTGACAATAGAGAACACAGCAAGTATTAACACTAACAATACAGAGGATATCTACATGGCTCGTGAGCATTTCTGGGAAATGCAAATGGCTCCACTACTTGGAACCATCTCAGTGGTGCTATGACAGTCATTTTGGGAGCTGTAAAATATTGGGACCCTTTTTTATATATATATATATATATATGACCAAGGCAGTACCCACTGACTGCCATAGTTTACTCATGTAAAGACTTCAGATACAATGACACACCTAACCTCATCAGTAAACCAAGTCTACCCAATTACAAAACATCTCCTTTACAACACACAGCCAGGTACATGCAGATGCCAGTGACGCCATCAGCACTCAGGCTGGGGGATTCTGGCGGTGTGCACACATGGTTTAAGTTTGTTGCATGCTGTAGTTTCCTACAGGTACTTCCTTTAGAATTAGTCATGTACATGAAATTAGTTCTAACCCATCAGTTTGATACATTTCACTGTTGACTGGACTAACATCCAGCAAGATCTGGTTTTAGCTTGAAATATTTGGTCAGGGCCTTTAAGAAGGCTTACTATTAAATATGCATTTATAATTATTGTAGGGACCCCTCAAAACCACACATTTGGGTATACTGTGGTATATTTGATTTTATTGGGTATTTCTTAGATTTACACTTTACTACATGTAGAGACTCTACCGTGAAACTTAAGGTTCCTGCCAGTCATTGCACTTCGATGTATACGAAATAGAAAGCACTGTCCCACTCCACAAGACAAATGCAATCAACCTCCATCACTAGTTGGGTAATTCAAGTAACATCCTGCTTTTGACAAGGATACTAACTGCATTACTTTTAACCATACAAGCACCTGCTTTGCCAGCACTTCAGGGATTAAATCAACCACTAAAAAAGGAAGCCAAGTTGGCAACTACATCCAGTAGGATCTCAATGCAGATCACATGCAAGTAGGATTCAGCCATCAAGTTGGAAGACATTCAGTGGTTAAAGAGCATTGTGGGGTGGAGTGGTGTTGGGGGGCACTTGCTCACCATAAATCAGCAACACTGTAGTCTGAATTCAGTGCCATTTTAATAGACCAATAACAGTTTGATACTCAAAGCACAAAAAGGCAAGTAGGTTATACAACTGCTGAAGTACATTAACATTCCTGAAAAGGTGCAGGTCAGAGGGACAGCTTTTCCAGGGCTGGACCAAATTCATGGCTGGAGAACCTGAAAAGCAGAAATTGAATGCTGAATAAGCAATGAGCCATGCACACTGAACTACTGTCCATTTACAAATTTACCAGTGTGCCAGTGTGGTTTCAGCATTTCCCTAGGAGGTGAGATGTTTATTAGATGTGCAAGTTGATTTCATTACCTTTTGACAACTGTTGACTGACTCACCTGGAATAAGTTCACATGGATTTCTTGAACCGATGACTTAAGGCATCTGCACTTTGAAAGGATATGCACCAAGTGGGAATCCTAGCAGCTGATGAAGATTTGTACCAACTTGTGAACCTACACTTTGATCTGAGCTAGATGTGCCCTGTGAACCCACCACTTGTGGGGAACCAGCAGAGCAGGTTAAGCTAGGGCCATAACCAGGCTGAATATCTAGGCCTTGAGCAGTGTCATACTGGAACTTCCGGGTCTGAGCTAAACTAGCCTGAGGATGGTTGCCTTGTCCAGCAGGCACATGTTGAGCATAGGGATAACCAAACCTAATACCCTGAGGAAAAGCAAAGTTATGGGACCCTGTTACTGGGGTAATGCTAGATGCACCACCAAGCAGATTCCCTACTCCCTGGACAGGCCAGGGTGTAGCCCTAAGGATGCCACCAAGTGGATACCCTCCATTGCCAGGTCCAGAGGCACCAAGCTGAGCTCCAACTTGGACAGGCCCAGGAGTAGCTCTAAAGATGCCACCAAGCTGAGCTCCTACTCCCTGGACAGGCCAGGGTGTAGCCCTAAGGATGCCACCAAGTGGATACGCTCCATTGCCAGGTCCAGAGGCACCAAGCTGAGCTCCAACTTGGACAGGCCCAGGAGTAGCTCTAAAGATGCCTCCAAGCTGAGCTCCTAC